TAAATAAATGTATTAATTTTTAATTTTTTCTATTTAATAATGTCAACTTTTAAATTTTTTTTGTTAAGAATTAATTAAAAGATGATACTGTTATGGCAAATAGATTTTTAAATTGAAATATTAAAAATTGATATTTTTAAATTAAAAAAAAAAGACTAAAAGTTAGTATTTTTAAGTAGAAAAAGTTAAAAATTAACATTTTTCTTTACAAATTGATAAAATTAATATTTTTAAATAGAAAAAAATGTAAAATTTGTATTCTTATTTGAACCTTTTCTTGACAGATGCAATTTAAGAAGTTAGTAGAAGTTGAAATTATAAAAGGATATTGAAAAGGATATCATTTAGTTTAATATACTTCATAATACATTTGTAAAAAATCATTATTTTTTCATTTAAAATTAAATACAAAAAACTTAAAAATATAATTATACATACAATGTAAAGGAACTAATTGAACCAACGATACTTGTTTTGTATTTTTATAGTTGAACTAGTTAAATATCAATGAATGTTAAATTGGAAGGTATTCAAATAATTTTTCATTATAAAAATGTTAATTTTGGAGTTGAAAGTTTATTGAAAAATATCTGAATTTGATATATTGTTTTTACAATTATTTTACATTAATACATGGTTTAACACTTAGCATGAAAATCCACTCAAACAAAAATTCTACAAAGCTATAATTAAGTTAAAGAAGGCTTTAAAACAATAATTGTCCAAGAGGAAAAAAATATGTGACCATAATTTTTGTAGTATTAACGAAGGGTATCATGGATGATTAAATATTGCTCTCTTTCTTAAAAGAAAAACGACAAACGCAAATAATTGCAGGTTCCACGGACAATGAAATCCAACATTGAAAACAGAGGAATTAAAAACAGAAAGAGATTATTAATTAAAAAAAAAAGAAAAAAAAGAAAAGAAAAACATTTTCTCCTCCATTTGATTTATCACATTCCTTTGTCTCTTTGTAACGGTAGAGTTAGAGTTTGACACCTAACTTTACATCAGCACCTCTTTTCTTCCCTGTTTTCCTCCCTATTGTCTCCCATTAGTCTTCGTTGGCCCTCCTTTCTTATCCTTTCAAAATTCTGGAATTTGAGTAATCTTGGCTTGTAATGGAGGCATCGTCCCTATATTATGAGCCATTATATAATGTTACTTTGTCAAATATAATCGTAAGTTCCAAAAATTTTGGAACTATTTTGTCCTACAATCTTCTTTGCTGGAAACCCGTGTTATGAAGAACATAATCAATCCGGTGCGACTAATGCTTTTGTTCCATGTATAATTGCCATGAAATCGAACATAAATCTTGCTCCTGGTATCGGATAATTCACAGTCCAAGAAGAAAGTAGTACATAAGTGTAATTGGTAATGCTATCAACATGCCAAAGATAACCCTACAAATCGTGAATGAAAAGAATCAGTTTGGAGCGATAGGTGTATTTATCGGGGTAATTAATAACAAAGACTTATATGTGTACTTACGCAGTGCTAAGAATTTGAGGGTGGACATTGTACTCTTTGGCAAACACAAAAGGTACAATTCCTTGTGGTAAGGCAGCCTATTGGACAGAAACCAACAATGTTAATTAACCAAAATCAGTGACATTTTCAAGAACTTAGTATTATAAAAGCAAACTAGTTATGGTGATGGAAGAAAAGATTTATTTTACCTGAACAATGGCAATGTGGAGGAGGGTGCCGCGTAATCCAACAGCAATGGAAGCCACCGTCATCACGGCTGGACCAATTAGGAACCTTACTGCCATGGCAAAGGCGGCAATAGAGTTTCCGCAGGCGATTATTCTAGGTTGTAAAGCCATAAACAGTCCTTTTTCAACCAAAACAAATCAAATAATAAGGATTTAGGACTCCCAGAAATGCAAATGTCATTCAAAACTCTTAACCTTTTCAATTCAATTTCTAACCACCTTCAATAACTCAAACCAATTGCCCAGCGCCAGGGCTGGGACTTGGGCCACAACTGATGTCGCGGCCTAACCCGCCCCTGCATGTGGGGTGGTCAATTTGATATTTAGTTCAAAAGATTAGCTTTTGGCGCATGGTTGTGAGTTGTGCAACCATGCCCATTACTTTAGAGAAAGACACCCATCTCCACCAAACTGCAGGCCCTACCACACCTTGGTGCGGTGAAATTATTGTCACGGGTTTTGTAATAACTCAAGGTCAAGGTGCACACCCCTGTTCATTTTAGAGATGCCTAGAATTTTACAAAAGTGAAAAAACAAATAAGATGCTCACCTAAGCTAAACATAGCCATTCCTAGCCCAGCATCAGACAGTATGGAGATTGACTTCTGTATTATTTTTGGCATACTCACATGCCACCTGCAATCAATCCAAATAATTAACAACTTAATCTTACAGTATAAGCCCATTGCAGTCAAGTTTCGTTAGATTACCTAAAAGCAATAAGAGACCAAGCAAGACCGATGAGACTAGAATATGTATTGGGGTTGCGGATGAGCTTGCGCCAAACCATGATCAGGATCAGTCGGGTCATAACACTGGCTGGGGGCATTTGTTTTCCGGCACCGGACTCCACAACTCCGGCGGTTTTTGGGTGAAGCTCGGCTGTTGAACTGGACCCCAGCTTGTTGAGTCCAGTGGGTCCCTCCTTTTCCCTATCCTCCTCTTCTTTTCCGGCAAAGCTGAATTCTTCCCCATCCAAGTCACTTGCTGAAATTGCTTCATTTCGTAACGAATTTCAACACTTAAATTTCAATCAAATCAAGAAGAACATTGAAATAATTTTTAACTTAATTAGTGAATAAATCAAAACCGTTTTTATGATTTGAATTATGTACCTTTGTTTTCCCCATTATGAGGATGATCAGAGACTAACATCCTGATCTCCTTGGCTCCCTGATCGGACCGTCCGGACTGCTCTGTCCCGCCAAGAACTTGATGCCCGCCTGCTTCCGATATAGGCGACGCACTCGAGCTCCATACGAACATGTGGAGCTCCTTCGCGTCGTGATTCACTTTACCATTCTCCCACTGTTGCTGCTGCTGCTGATGCTGCTGCGGCAGCTGAGCTTGGGGTTGTGGTAGCGGCGGTGGCTGGCCGTTTTTGGTGTTCTTGGTTACTGATGAAAACTCGGGATTTGGAGCAGGGTACGAAGTGGGGACCGTCTGCGCCGGGTAAAACCCGAATCTTGGAGACATTACCGTAGAATTCTCTTCGAAATTTGAGGGTCTCGGAGTCGGCCCTCTTGATGAGTGAACAGAGTATACATCGCCAGCCCCGAAATTGGATTGTCTACCCGGAAATCCCTGAATTCCCATCATGGAGTAGAAATCCGAATGGTTGAAATTCGAACCTCTGGGTGTGGGATTCCGAGATGAGCTTAAGCTGTATATTTCTGCTCCGGTAAGGTTGGACGGTCGCGGCGTCATTGCAAAAGACCTTCGAGAAGCATTAGATTTCCTCACAGTGACGTGAAGCTTCCCATCTTGTCCAATTTCAGCGTCTGTTTCGAGAAAATCGCGTCCATCGAGCGAGACCACGTCGGAATCGACCTTGAACGAAACAATCGAGGCGGCAGTCTCCGGAAACTGTTCCATGATCAGCAACTTGGCGCCGCGATACTCGAAGAGAAAAAGAAGCAAAGTGTACCAGATGATGCACTGGAGAACCACCACTTGGACCATCAGGCTACCGGAATACTGCCCATACATGGCGATTAACAGGGGAATGCCCATGACCAGAGTGTTGGGCAGGGTCGAGAGTGAGAAAATGGTGATCATCCACTCCAGGCTTCCGTTTCTGGTGAAGTTCCACAGCCCAAGGACGACAAGCATGATGATCTTCTGAAGTGTGTCGGCAGCGATGAACTTTAAATTCATGGCGTACGGATTGTTAACGGAAATAAAGTGGAATGACAACAGAGGGACGGCGAATATGGCGACGAAGCGATTGATACCGGAGCACTGGTCCGGCGTGAAAATCTTCCACCACCGCACCGACCCGTACGCCAAAATCATAGCCACATACAGCGGAATCACCGCCGCCAAAACGTTGTACAGATCCTTCCAAGAAATCATCTTTCACAAAAAAGGGGGGGATAATTTTTCTGTGTAAAGATTACAACTTTGAAACCCGAAAGATCTATTCTTTCCGGGAAAACATTGGTGGGGGAGGAAAAGAGCAAAATGGGGAGATGAAAAAACCGTTAAATAACGAACTTGAGAACCAAAATCTAGGACGACTGCTGCTTCTGCAACTATGAAATGCTGATTGGATTGCGGGAAAGAGAGAGAAAATGAGGGAAAGAAAGAGAAGAGAGTATAATTTTACGAGGGAAGTAAGTCCTGAGAAATATATAGAGGAAAGTATACGGTGGAGGGTGTGGCGCTGGTTCTGAGAAAGTATAGGGGACCAGTCTCTGGAGGAACGAGGGACTGTGTGAACCAGGGTTGGCAATTGACCGCCTCATGTGGTTAAGTTAACCAAGGTGGAGAGTTTAGGGTGTTAGCACTTAGCAGTCACAGCAGGTGGCGTTTAAGACTGTGGTCATGGTCCCATTAATTTTAACTGTAGTTTAATTCATTTATATAGGTTTTTTGTTTTAAAAAATAGTATGATATTTGAAAATATTTATTTATAAATTAATTTAATCTATTAAATAATAAATATTAATTGTTTTTAATAATTTTAGTGACAATAACAAATTTAATAGTGATTATAATCATAACCGGAGTTTGATGTTTCCTTCTTGGGTTATGATTGTATAATCCTCTGCTTTTATCTTCTTCTTTTTTCTTTTTTTTTTTAATACATCAGAGAGCAATGGTGGAGCCAGGATTTGTGGAGAGGGGGCAAATTTTTTTAAGAGGAAATTGAGAGAAATAAGCTCTAACAATGTTTAGTAAAGGACCAGGACAGATTCTTAAAGGTTTTTTTTTTTTTTAATTAGTGAATATTTTCTAGTTACTTTTGTGCAAACAAACCTTTAAAAAATTAAAAATGAAAAAGATTAAATATGTTTGTAATAGTAAATTACATCAAATGACAATAAGAGGAAAAATTAGATTTAACCACTTAACAGTTTGTTTTGGTTTTAGGGTAAAGTTTTATTATTGACTTAATAGAAAAAAGGATTAGATAGTGCATACAGTTGAATATTCTAAATTGGTTTTAAGCATATTAAAGAAAATAATTTAGAGTTTTTTAGCAAATAGAGGAGGACGAAGAGAGGAAAGAGGTCATATGTTAGAAATTTATAGAAATTTGGTAAAAAAATTTAGAATTTTTTTACCAACCCTAAAGTTTAGAGATTAAAAAATGTTTTTATATTTAACAAACTTACTAATCACCATGCCAATGTTGAATTTATATTTTACTATTAAAACTAATCCAACAATCAATTATGATTTTTTTTATCAACTAATGATAATTATTATCAAAAAGGTTAGGAATATTAGTTGAAACAAAATAAAGGTTTTGAGAAAAATATCTTATATTAAAAAGATTGATGATTAGTGGTAGAATTAATGATTAAAATTTTAAAAATTTTGGGGTTCCATTGAATTTTTTAAAAAAGTTGAGGCCCCCTTAGTGTACACTTGGCTCTGCCCTTGTCAGAATTAGCTATTTTGTATCACAGGATTGAACTTCTGACCTTAACCTCAAATCAAAGTTTTTAAGTTAGTAAATATCAATGGCCAAACTCTTATTGGTTTTACCTTTCCTTGTTAATCATCCATGGCAAAGGAATTCCTCATCTCACGGTTTTACGGTGAAGATGATTAGAGAATCAATTGCAATAAGTAATTGATTGATTTTAGAATCATTACGTTATTTTGATGAATTATGGTCTACTTAATTGTAAAGAAAAACAGTGCAGTTGAATCATTTCATATCATACAAATATTAAAGTTTACCAACCAATCACATTAAGTGTGTTTGGTTTGAGGGAAAAAGACAGGAGATCGATGCAAGATTTTTAACCAATCAAATTAAAATATTTGAAAATGTTATAAGTTGATTGATTAAAAAATTTATCTCTCCCCTCTCTCCATTTCTCTTATGCCAAACATATTCATATAATAATTCAAGGAGACTACAAAACAAAGATCCTAAATGTAAATAAATCTGTTAAATATATTCGTTTCCTAATGCTTCAATGAAATTTGGAGTAGCATGGTGGATAAAAATTTGCCTTGAAACAAATTCTAGATTTGAATCTTGGCACTGGGGTAAGTATGGAGTAGGAGAAAGTTGTCCCATACTTCCTCCAGTCATTTTTAGTTGTCTTAGTTTCGTAACTCTACATAAATTAACTTGATAATTTTATATAGTAAATAAATGATAATTGAAAAAAAATTATTTAAATAAAAATACCCAACAAAAACTACATATAAAAAAAAATTTCAATTGTCATTTATTCATTATATAAAATTATTTGATCAAATTTTATCTAAAAGTCCAATTAAAATAATTAAATTCGACTAGAGAGAGTATTATGCAAGCAATGTTTCCCTCCTAGACATGTCTAGTACTTTAGTTTTAAAAATGCATCAAGAACTAAGTCAATTAAATTTGAGTTCCCAAAGATCACTATTCACTACTATTTCATATTTGGAGTAAGATATTTCTAGAGATAAATGAAATTAGTGATTTTTGATCAGCAATGAACTTACTTTTTCATTATTTTTTAAAGACAATAATTGGTACACATTCAGTTTAACATACTGTACATTCATTAAAAATCACTATTTATTGATATGAAATTAAAAGCAGACATGTTTAAACATTTAATTATGCACACAAAATGTAAGAACTAGCTAAATCGATTGTATTATATTATATTTTTAATAGTTGAATCGAAAATGTGTTAAAAAATATGTTAAATCGAGTGTGTATCAATCATTTTTCTTTTTTTAATCAACACACATTAGTTAAATTTAGCATTGTTGAGAAATTCCACCTTCACATGGGGAAAATTTTCATATATACTGTTTAATTTCTAAATATTGTCTATAAAATATTTCATTGTTAATCATTCTTGAGAAATTCCACCTTCCCATTGGTTAAATCTTTACATTGTTAACTATAAAATGTTTGTTTGTTGATCAACAAATAAATATCTAGTATAGCACATTGGTTAAATTTCTAATTATTTAAAATTCCTACAGGTTCAAACCCTAGCATCTAAGGATCTCTTCTTTTTATTGTTCTGTATTTTCTAAAATTTTGTATAAAATATTGTTTTTGTGAAAATAACTGGTGTAGTTCATTGGTTAAGTTCTTGATTGTTTGAAATTTGATATTCAAATCCTGGCACCCCAAATTTTATTTTATTTTTTTTGTATTTTTTAAGTTTAGTCTATAAAATAATTTTCTGTTAATCAACAAGCAAAATATCCAGTGTAGCACACTGGTTATATTCCTAGTAGTTTGAAAATTTAAGTTTAAATCCTAGCACTTGAAAATCTTTTTATATATATTTTTTGTATTTTTAAATTTCGTTTATAAAATATTATTTTTGTTAATAAACAGCAAAATATCCGGTGTAGCAGCTTTTGATTGTTTGAGATTCCAGGGTGTAATTTTAAAATCAAAAAGTTTACATATATAATAAGGAAAAATATATATCAATATCGATTGTTAAAGAAAATTGGATATTAAACTATGTTATTTTATTTAATTAAAATTTAAATCAAAATTTAAGATTTTATCTTAGTAAATATTAATATTTAAATTTAAAAACTGATCAAATTTTTAAATTTTGAATTGAATTATCAGTTTCTAAATATATATTGAAATTTCAATTTTTTTAAATCAAAATTGATAGGCACTAACTTCTATATAATATATATTTATTTTTCTTGTATATGTGGTTAATATTTTTTTGTATTTTCCAATTTTAGCCTGTAAAATTTTTTTTGGTTAGTCAATGATCAAAATATCCAATTCAGCACATTGATTGAATTTTTGATTATTGGAAATTAATTTTAGGTTTATTCCTAGCACATTTATTTATTTTTTGTTATTTAGTAAATTTAGTATAATTTTTTTTTTCGTTAATCAACGCAACCTGGTAGACAAAACATGAATAATAGGGCAAATATATATTGAAGAATATCGAACTTTAGCAAATTAATTGGGTTGGGAAGGCTAGGGAGAATCTAGTAATCTACCATGTATCCGGTATATAAATCTGATTGGGTATCACATAAATATTTGATAGAAACAATGCTTGTCCTATACACATTTATATCCTCTCATTTTTTGAATCGGCAATCCTAGCAGTAAAATGATAGAGGAAATGGGGTTTTTAATAAAAACTTAAAGATTTTATGAGAGCTAGAGAGATAAAAACAACCTAAATACAGAGAACTGAAGCCATGTATATATTAACTATATGTAGAACTGTTATAACAATAATTTTTTTTAAATTTTTTAATAAATATTTATTAAATTTTAAAAAAGTTATCAAAAATACTTAATGAGTTTAAAAAATTATTAATAAATATTTAGTAAACTTTTAAAAAAAAAACTAATAAAATGTAGTTTAAATTTAATATATATTAAATATAATAATCCAATGATAGCAAAATTTAATTTTTCTATTGATTTATTTAAGTTTTCTTATTATAAAATTTGATTTGATGTTATGTTTAACATCTTTTCAATTATAAAGCATTAGCATTACAATTTATTTCTTATTATGCTAATGGACAAACAAAAGAATTAAAAGAGAGAGAGAGAACAAAGAGAGGAGGTGTTGAAACCAAGGAAGTTTATACCGTTTCGTATCGGTCGATACGGTCGATACATACCAATTTTTGGGTGTAACAAAATGGAATGAGTTAGAATTTCGTTTCAATCAAAATCTAATAGTTTCGATCAAATTTTGATGTACCGGTCAAAATTTCATGTACCAACTGGTACATCAAAATTTAATCAATATATTTTACAAGAATTAAAACAAAAAAGATTCTTTAACCAAAACAACGTCATTTTGATTAGGGGCTGCTTAATCTCTCCTCTCTTCTCGTATCCAGCTATCCTGCACATTTTCCATTTTTTGGTACAATTACCGGCACAATTCAATTCAAAATTTCAAATTTAAAAAGGGAAAATTTCATTTTTAGTCCTCAACTTTAATATACATCATTTTTATCCTTTAGCTTTTTTATGTACTTTTTTAGTATATTCTTCATATTTTTTTTAGTTTTTCTATCAATTACTCCATTAAGTTTATCTAAATACACACTTTTTTAATCCCTTAATTTAAAATAGATGGACAAAAAATATACATATATTAGAAGTTGAGAGATTAAAAATGAT